ACGACAAGTCGTCGCAAATATGGCCAATTGTCGTCGGTAAAACGTGGGTTACATTCGCGCCATCGAAATTTGCGCGGTAAAATTATTTGCGACGACAAATAATTTATTAGCGACGACATGTGAATTTTTTTAAACGGGAGTTATTTGTGACGACATGTCGTCACAAATAGTCTACTTTTTGCGACGACAAATGTCGTCGCAAATGGGCATATTTGTTGTAGTGATATACTTGAAACATAAATGCACGAGGTGCATCATACAGCACGTTAGCTAGCTATCTAACTAGCAAACTTAGGGTGGTTGGATCCACTTGATTAATCCAATTACTAATGACCAAGAACTCTACATTTGCGACGACAAATGTCGTCGCAAATGGGCATATTTGTTGTAGTGATATACTTGAAACATAAATGCACGAGGTGCATCATACAGCACGTTAGCTAGCTATCTAACTAGCAAACTTAGGGTGGTTGGATCCACTTGATTAATCCAATTACTAATGACCAAGAACTCTACAAATACAAATTAAATATAAAATGTTCACCCAGTTTTCCCAATTCCAATTAAGTGGTTAGGATGGGGTAATATTATGTGTGTATATGCATGCATATATATATATATATACTTATTTTTAATAGTTATATTTTCATCTATGATTATCATTAAATATGAAAAATTTAATAACGTGACGTGATAAAAATCTAATTTTATTAATTGTTATTAATTTTTTTAGTCAACTAATTTATTATAACTCTCGAATCAATATTTTACAGTTAAAATAATAATATTAATTGATGAGTAAATATTCGAGTAGCCATTAAAAAAACACTCATATATATGTAGTATAAAGTGGTATGTTATACACAAAGTTCTTTATAAAAAATTGCTACTTCACGTGATAGGCACGTGACATGTTAACAAAAAGCACAAGTACTAATGATTTTTTTTTTAAGTGTGAATACTTTTTATTTTATTTTATAAGGTTTAAGTGTAGGAGTACTTATTCCTCCAAATGCTTGGCAAAAACAAGAAAAGCAGATAATCAAGTACTAGATAAGTGCTTTTTAATTGAGGAAATTTATAACGTGGTCGATTATGGTTGTTGGGCGTGTGAAATTGTGTTCACATCACCGCCAAATCGTGAACCAAACCGCAACTAGTGAGCGTCTCTATCATTGTGTACCACAGAGAAAACTCGTTTTTGGCATGCCAAATTACCAATTACCAAAGTTGCAAAATGAAGAAATTATCCCACTTGTTCAATTTAATTTATTATTGACCCGTTTAGTGTACAGATTTAAATATAAATTATGATTGAGTATTTTATTTACAAATTAAGTACTTTAGAGCTTGAGTATTTATAAGTTTTTAAATATTTTTGTTAGTTTAATGTCTTTTTATCTTTATATATTGAAATTAAAATAGAATTTCAGAACATACTTCAGTATTTGAGACATAATTCTCTCATCTGAAGTTCAAATGAGGTGATATTAGTGGCGTTAAAAATATAAGAGATAGAGCTATAAGTTTCGTGAGACACCAAACACTAATTCGGCTATATAGAAGGTGAAAATCCTCATCAAAGTCACACACTCGTTGCAGCTGATTTTCTGTCCGAGAGCAGGAAAACCACACACTCGCTGTAGCGAAAAATCCATCTGTTGCAGCGGTTACGCCAGTTTCGTTAGGGTTTTTTAAAAAAACATTAGTGGTGTTGCAGGTGGAAACTGATCCGCTGCAGCGTTCAAACACGAAATGCTGTCACTTTGAGCTGATTTGGATAGATATAAAATGGGAGAAGACTCATTTTCTTAAAATTGGGGAGGAAGAGAGGAAAAAGAAGCACAAAATCCCTAGAGAAGAAGGAACTTTAGAGGCTCAAATCACATTATTTCATTGAAGATTCTTGAAGAAGATGGTGGATTCAAGTTTAGAAGATCATTCTTCGAACATAGTTCTTCCTTCTCCCTTTATTTCCTTTTTAGTTTTTAGATTTTATTTTTGGTTATGGATTCCTCTATGTTGAGCTAAATTATTATTCTAGTACTTGATGTAACATTGTTTGAACTATGTTTTGAAATTTTGCCAATTGTTAGTTTGATTTCCATTTAATTTATTCGTGTTTCTCTATGTTAATTGCTCTAATTTGTGTTTTCATGGATTGGAGATATAGATGTGTTGATTTAGGTTCGGGAGAGTTATTTTTACATGTTAGAATTAGAAAAAGACAAACTAGAGTTAGATGAGTTTGGGAGGCCAATTAATTCGGGTAATCAAAATTAGATTGCTTAATAGATGCTTGATTCGGTTAGGCTAATAGGGATATTGTTTAACTAAGTTTTACATACTATTTTGCTCGGCACTCGGGAGAGGGAGTGAAATTACCTTCGAAAACTTAAGATTAATGAATTGAGTAGAATTGGCTAGCAATAGCTAAATAGGATGAATATATGAATGATAGGGTGATGTCAAGTCCCTAATAGATTTGTGCATAGGAGTTATTTTATTTTATTTTATTTTCATATTTATATTTGTTTTTGCTCTAT